TTTTTTTTTAAGTTTTTTTTTTTTTTTTTTTTTTTTTCTTTCCCCCCCCCCCTTTTTTTTTTTTTTTTTTTTTTTTTTTTTATCATCAAGCCCAAAATGTCATACAGCTAGCTAATTTTTAAATTTTTTTGTGGAGACAGGGTCTCACTATGTTGTCCCGGCTGGTCTTGAACGCCTGGTTTCAGGTGATTCTCTCACCTAGGCCTCCCAAAACTGGGATTACAGACATGAGCCACTGCACCCAGACTTTTAAAAATTTCTAATTCACATTTCTTTTGAATTACAAAAGATACATTCATGTAACTTATTCATCGAAGAGATTTTTAAAAATACATATTTCTAACTGTAATTCTTAATATATAGGCCTTATATAAATTCTTGGCACTTATCTTAAACATAGTCTTACCTGGAATTTTTTCAGATAATTGCAAGCTCAATGTTGATCTAAAAAAGTAAGCTTGGAATTTCCCCTGAATTCTGACTACTACTGAACTTCTTTCTCTTCTTATGTAGGGCTTTACATAGGGATTTTAAAACTGTAGTCAGTAATAAAATGGCAAGTCTAGAAATACTTAGAACAGCATGGGCTATAGCTCACTGAAGAAAGGAAATTCTTCGTATTAGCCTTCAAAAGTAAAATGTATCTTCAGTAAGTATCCACAGAACAATTTAAAGCTGCTCCCATATAGTTATTAGGTTTTCTTTTAATATCCCAAATGTGGTCATTCATTTTAGTTCTTAATATGCTACTAAGTTCAATTCTCGAGAAATAACTGTCTTTTAATTATAGTTTTTAATGTAAACTTCACATGTGCTTTGCCTACCTAGTGACATTATAAATGTCCTTGGAAAGTTTAATAAGATATCTACCTGAAATTCTTCAAGGAATTCATAGACAAACAAGAAGAAGTACCAAGTATATGCATCTGGCTCCAAAAAACCAGACCTGATTTTATATTTGTTTATATTTGTATGCAGCCATACCTTACATTAAAAAATGGAAATAAACCTACATGACTGGAAATAACCCAACATTTTGGTGACCAACACTATACATTACACCTTTATTCAGTAGAAATCAGTTTACTAAACCAAACTCATTAACTAGAATATTTTTATGGGTTTTTATCCAGACATTCGCCATTGGACACAGTTTCTCAAATCACGTGTTCAATTTTTAGAGTATATATCTTAAGAATTGGATGGGTGCAGTGGCTCACATCTGTAATCCCAGGTCTTTGGGAAACCACGGTGGGCAGATAACAAGGTTAGGAGTTTAAGACCAGCCTGGCTAACATGGTGAAACCCTGTCTCTGCTAAAAATACAAAAGTTAGCTGGGCATGGTGGTGCATTCCTGTAATCCCAGCTACTTGGGAAGCTGAAGCAGGAGAATCACTTGAACCCAGGAGGTGCAGGTTGCAGTGAGCCACATTGCACCACTGCACCCCAGCCTGGGTGACAGAGCAAGACTTCATCTCGATAAAAAAAAAAGAGTTTAGGATAATGGCTTTTAGACTCCCAACAACTAATAATAATAACAACAATAAAAGTAATGGTAGCTAATGATTATTAGCTATAAATAACATTCTTACCATCTGCCAGACATCCTATTATAAACTTAGATGCGTTATCTCATTTAATTCTATAACAGCATTATGAGATAGGAATATATATATATATATATATTTTTTTTTTTAAACAAGAAAAGTCTTGGAAAGGTTCAAGATTAGTAAGTAGGAGAGACAAGTTATTTGAAAAAGGTTTCTAATTCCAATAAAAGGTTGTATTTAAAAGAAAAGAAAGGTTTGTGCTTAATATTTTTTTCTAAACTGCTATTGCATGAGCTTCAATTATCGACAAACAAAACACTTTGAACATATGCCTGTAATCCCAGAACTTTGGGAGGCCGACGAGGGTAAATTGCTTGAGCCCAGGAGTTCAAGATCAGGCTGGGCAACATAGTGAGACCCTGTCTCTACAAAAAATACAAAAATTAGCCAAGGATGGTAGGATGTGCTTATGGTCCCAACTACTTGGCAGGCTGAGATAGGAGGGTTGCTTGACCCCAGGAAGCAGAGGTTGCAGGGAGCCTAGATCGCGCCACTGCACTCCAGCCTAAGTGACAGAACAAGATCCTGTCTCAAACAACAACAAAAAAGAAAATACTAGACAATGACTTGTTAAGAAAATGTGCCTGTGCATTTTTTTTTAA